GACTTACCGATCAGTGACCCATGTCTCTATTTTTAGGTTGTTGTCGAGCTTACAATGTGAATTAAATAAACATTTTTGAATGATTTATTGTGGATAATCTTTAAGAATTTTTCAAGAAAAACTTTTAAAAGTTAAAATAACGAGTAATAGCACCTTTATCTCAGAAAGGGTTCCATATTTCCCACGAACAATTCCCGTTCATAGGGTTAAATGATCTTAACTTGTGTAAAGCGACAAAACATGCCTTACTATTAAAATATAACAATCACAATTCTGAATTCGTGGGCCATAGATTACTGAATTGTATACACGTTTTCGAGAATTTCAGTTACGTATTCAAGACTCTTTAATAACAAAACAGTCGTTGTAACCACAACAACTGAATAAAACTTAAATACCAAGTTAACGCCCCCAGTAGCACAGGTCTCCGGACTTATAACGCTAGAAACTGGATTTCTATACCCGTAGTCGGCACAGCACAGGTAGCCCATTGTGTAGCTTTGTACTTAATTACAAACAAACCAAGATAACTTTGTGTTTCTACAATTTTATAATTTTCGAAGATATACAAAATTCCGTTTCATATTTTCATAAAATCTTTAGACCCATCTATGAATAACTTATGTCTTTGTTTTCAATATACATTACATATTTTATTTTATGTTGAATATTCACCATTTTCGCAAACGTTATTGTTTTCTTTGCATAATGTTTCCTAAATGGCCCAGTTTTTGACCCGAATTCAGCTTAGGATTCAGTTCACTTTCACCTAAAATAATAGTACAAGTTTAAAAGGAATATCAATCAGATTTAAATTAAAGGTATATTTTATTCCTTTTGTTTTAAAATCCAAAAAGATACTTAGCGTATTACTGATAAGTCTAGAATACGACAGGCTACTGCGTTTATTTGCGGCAACAACCACTCATATACGTATATCACTCACTCACTGATGTCGTTCGTCCTTCACATTGTTTTGGCGTTTTTATTCCACCCGGAGATCCACTACAAATCCGCCAAGTAAAATATACCGGGGACTCAGTACAAATCCGCCTAGCAAAACATAATAATTTCTTTATAGGTATGGTAACCCACGAAAGGATGTGAATTCTAATGACGACGTTTGGTATGTGCAGACGCGTTCTCAAAATCTAGTAGCGCGTGCAATAATATATGTGTAACTGGAATAAAAAATGGATGTCGTACATACTATTCGCCGAGATATCATATATCGAACCGTCATATTACATTTCTCAGCAAGATTTGTCACATTTTAATTTCCGGATCAGGTATGGGTGAAATGGGAGAACTCCGAGAAAACCCACTTTCACTGAACAGGATCTGGATCAGAGAAGTATCATATCAGGGGTTCTAAGCTTTATATATCCCTGATTCTCAATTCATCTCTCAGGAAGGACGTTCTACCTTCCAAAAGCGCTCGATTTATCTGATTTATTATATTGTGACTTGGAATTACTGATGTGTTTATATAGAAACAATCTCTCACAATCTGAGAGTCGCGGGTTCGAATCCGCATCCCACCAAACATGCTCCTCCTTTCAGCCGTGGGGGCGTTATAATGTGACGGTCAATCCCATTATTCATTGGTAAAAG